AGGTGGGGGGGGAGGGGGTAGGCATCTGTAATACTTTCAACAATAAAGATAAATTAAAAAAAATAAAGACAGGACATGAGGAAGTCAAGAAAATCAAAAGCTTTGGCAACAATGTATGATTTAAATTATTTTTTTAATATCATACTTTTCACAGACGGCCACCAAGGAGCCGAGGTGATAGAAATCCACTTTCACTGCGTTGTGATTCCGTTAAAATGCGAGCTATCTCTCTGTTTACGCCCGGCTCAGGAAAGGCTCTGCCCCCTTATCTCGTTGGGGAGTCCTAAGCGGCCCTCCCCCTCCGGGGAGACCTGGGTTCTGCTGGATCCTGTAGGGAGGCTGCAGCCTGCCGCACCCTTTGAGAGAGGATCTGAGCGGTTTGAGGGCTTTCGCCTCTTTTTAAAGTAGAATTTGGCTGCTGACTTCTTTTGAATGTGCACAAAGGGAGGTGCCACTTAAAAAATCATGCGATGCTCACCCTGAAGAGCAGCGAACCAGGCTCTCGTGTTCCCGACCCCGTCTTTGTTTTCTCCATGGCAGACGGTCCTTGCTGAATAGTCAGTCGTGCGGACCGTGACTAGCTATTCTTAAATATTTACAAGAATGTAACTGTTTCTCTGCCTCTGGGGAGGCTAGTTCAGATTCTCATTGTGAAATGTCTTCTTGATGAATTTCAAGAATTCTTCAAGGAAGTTTTGCTCACTATTACCAGATTACCCTTTGCCGCGACTCTGAATAGATTTTAACCTTTGTCATAGATGTGCAAACACGGGTAGCACTGGTTAACTTCTGTTTGGCTCCCAAAGGAAACATTTTCAAGAACTGCTGCATTTTGTGCGTCTAGATGAGCGCCTTTGTCTCCAGTTCATGAGTGAAAGATCCATCCACCCCTGAAATGCGAACACTCCGTGTCCTCATAGAGTTTGCCATTAGGTAGAATGTCGCATCTCAAGCCTAATGTTCCCGTGGGCCCGGGAACAGATGTTGCACGATTTGCAGCGTGGAGGTAGAATGAGGAGCCGTCCCCTTGGGATTGAAAGAGCAATGACCGTCAGGAAGAAGTGCAGACCGGCCCAGCAGAAGGCCAGGATTCCATGGAGCCTGGCCCCGGGGAGGGGTGGACAGAAAGACCGGCTGTTTGATTCCCTAAGGCTTTCCCCTGCCTGTCGTCCTGTGTCCTCAGTGTAGTGGGACCTTGGTGAGAGGGAACAGGAGGAGCTGCAAAGCCTGCCATCCCTCCTTCACCACCCCCCCCTACCCCCCCACACACCTGTTGTTGGACTTCAGGGCAAGGCTGCCGCTGCGGGCTGACTGCAGACACTTGAACTTGTTGCCGCTGCTGGCTCTGCGCTTTGGGGTGGGCCCTACACCAGCTGTGCCCTCAGCACAGGGAATGGTCATTTTTACGTTGTTATGGAAAGAACTTTCTGTATTGTAACGTTCCGCTGTTGCAACACCAAATAGCTGCTGCCTCCAACAAGATGAGCCTGGTTCTCTCCACATTCAGGCACATTTGTGTCACTTAAAAGGCAGCTTTCCATGCAGATAATTTCCCTACGTTAAAGGCATTTCTGCTTCTAAGCGAGCCGTTTAGATGCAGAGCCTGGGTCTGCATGGGTGCCATGCTTTTAATAGTCTTCTTTCTGCTGCTCTTTTGGCAACTTGGCACACGTTTGTGCTGGTTTTTTTCCTGCCCTGGCGATGCATTTGAAGACCTCCAGAATGGGAGCCACT